CATGACTCCACAGCTCCACCATACACATCTCTGACTCCCTTCCCTCAGGCCCTAGAATCCATATTTATTACCTGCTTTCCCATGCTCACAGCCTCCACATCTTCTAGCATATCCTTCAATCATGCCAGCTTTTTTAATCATCCAAGATATTATCCTTTCCATGCACATGTCCAAGGTGATTTTCCTTGTAATAACCTAGGTGCTGATCCACAGGTACTAGAACCAGGAAGAACCTGTATTTGCAATCGTCAGTAAGCAAAGAAAGTTATCAAACATCCTGACAGTGCTGGAATGGGACTGTGAGTGCTAGTGTTTGTTTTCTGCTCATTGTCTCTACAGTTTACTCTCCTTTCATCTTCTGAAAAGCTGCCCAGTGAGGGAAGATGACTGTGCAACTTCCTTGCCTTAAAGCAAGCTGTTGAACAATGGACAGTGAACAATCTGATTACAGATTGGTATCTGTGTGAGTTGAAGGTGTCTCAGAGATAAGAGTCAATTTGTTTAAGTTTGTGGGTAGCATGAATGCATGCATTTGTTATGGGTTACATAACTTCTCTTCGTTTCAGGTTCCCCTGTCTGTTAAATGGGGATAATAATATTTAATTATATTGTGAGGACAAATTAATGAAGGGTTGCACAGGCATTTAAAGATTAAATGTGTTCTATTGGGGCTAAACGTAATTATTTAATATAGTAAAAGAGAGGTGGTTATTTTGATGCTTGTGCCTAGGATCTGGCCTCCATGCATGGTTTCTAGGTAATTCATTTTTGTGCTTGCATGTAAGTTTGGGGAAATGTTTTGGTGGGTGGTAGGTAGGAAGAAGGCAGTTTGTTGTCAAAACAGGTGGAGGGTTAACATTTAATTTGTAACCTTTCCTTCTGACTTTCAAATATTCCTAACTGAAACTGATCCAGAATAGGAGCAAAGAGGAAGAGAAAGTAGAAATGGGAGCAGAACTAGAGAGTAAAGAAACGAAAATAAGAATGTCTGATAAGGACTGAAAACTGAAAGACCAAAAGTATAAAAAATAAACTGGAAAAGGAAATAAAAACAGTAGGGTGAATTAAAAAAGAAAGAAGAAAAAACCCTAAGAGGCACACAAGTTTAAAATTATGTAAATTGAATTACAAACAAAAGTAAACAGCTTTTTAAAAGAATTTGTATGTAAAGAAAAGGAAAAAGGAGTAGAATGGAAGAGAGAGCAAAAACAGGAGACATGGTTAGGTTGCATTTTTCCCATCTTACTGACTGAGATCAAGTAATTATTTTAGTTCATATTTCCATATACCTTGAAGAGATTATATCAGATATTTTAGACATTTTGCTCTGTACATTGTCTCCCGCTTCCTGGTTAAGGTTGTAAGAGCTATGCATGGATGCTTCTGTCAGTCTGACACCAGGCCCTGTCTGGTTTCATTTGGTCTTCACATGACTCTGGAAAATTAATGGGACAAAGTCATATTCACTGACTTGTTTCAGGAATGATTCAAGCCCATTATTCTTGTTAAGTAGAATCAGCAATAACCAATGTGCTAAAAAAGCCTGATCCAAAGCTGTTTCAGATTGGACCTGGAACACGTTATGAATAAATATGCAGAATAAAAATCAAGGCTTAGATTCACAGTCACCTAATAAATATAGTCTATGGATGGGTAAGCCTGTGTGAGCAGCCTAGATGAGTTTACACAGAAAGAGTGAAGTGCTGGATAATGATTTGACCTTGCAGTGTTGGGCCCAAACTGTCTGTGGGTTGTTCTGGCCCTGCTTGCATAGCCACATTCCAGGCAAGTGAATATTTGTATCTACCATCCGGCAGCAACATCACTGCATTCCCACCCCTCTGCCTTCTTCCTCCTTTTCTTTGTCCCCTATACCGTTTTGTCCTTTATCTCATCTCTAAAGCTTCTCCTGTGTCTCCCCAGCCTTTCACCTGAAAGCTCCTGCTTTCTCTTCCCTCTTTATTTTTTCA